ATATATATATGCTATTTTTTTTGTAAAATATTATATTGTAATTATTTTCTTTTTACTATAGGATTGTTAAATTTTATTAATATTATATTTTTACTTATTTAAATTCAAATACTACATAACTAAAAACTAATTGAAGTTAATAAAAGATATATTAACTTTTCATCCTACATACCATATATCCACATATGCAGTACATATATATAAGCATATATAATATAAGTTTCAAATATCAATGTCTCTAACTGTGAGGTGGGAAGTGATCAGGTCTAAATCCTTCAAAAGAAGGATCAGCAGTCTGGGGTGGTGCAGAAGAAGGATAATCAGTCTGGGGTTATGTAGCATTCATAGAATATTGCTAGCTAAGTAAGCGCATGTGCTCTTGAAATCTCCTCTCAAAGCTGGCCTCCATCTTTGATACTCTCTATGATACCTCTGTATGAATACGTGCGACTACCTCTGTCTGAACTCGCTCAGCCATTTCTTCCCGAACTTGAATAAGCTCAGACTGCAACTACTGAACCTATGTCGTAAGAATCCTGGTGGTAGAAGAGGAGGCGTCACTCATGTCATACCGTCGCCAAGGGATGCCATGCTCTGCTGGATCCTGTAATGTAGACATCCCTCTCATCTGACCCTTTTTAGGAGGTCCAACCACCTCCTTCCAGATAACTGGATCCCATTCTGGCCATGAATCCTTGTTTGGCCCATGCTTCTCCACATATTTTTGGTGAGCATCGTCCTGTTTCAAAAATAAAATTTTCATTAGTTAGCAATTTCAAATGATAATGAGAAATCAAATGAAAAATAATTATTTACTGAATATAATGGATAAAAAATTGTATCACTTTTCTTCTTTTATGGCAATATGACATTAAAAATAAATAAAATTAATATCATAAAAGAATCAGATTCTTACATATGTTTGCTCAGCCTGTGGACATATCCAAGCGGGTGGGGCATCTTTTGGAGCATTAGGTCGGCGAGTCGTGTGAGTCAACAAGTATGACTCTAAAGGTGTCGGCCTAACTCCTCCTCTTTTAGCTGCCTATTAAAACATCAATAAAATCAATAACATTTCCATTTTTATGGTAAAAAAAAATTTATATATGTATATATATAAGTATATCTTACTAACCAGTCGATCCTCATAGATCCCAATAGAAAGGCATCCAGTTGTGTGGGTTACATGGTCACCCTTTGATCAGTTTTGCCGATCTCTTTCTGGATTGCAATATATTTTGGACTCCTCTATTTTGCCAACAAAATTTTAAAGGTATCCTTATGCATGAACTCGGGCAACTTCTTGTCCTTGACCCACGCCTTTTGAGCTCGATGAAGCTCGTCTCGAAAACAGTTTCGACAATGTAATCTCCAAATTTTATACACACGAGCATCATCCTCTTCCCAATAATATGTCCTCTGCAATGAAAAAAAAAA